GAGTAATATCCATATAATAGGGATACTGGAAGGAGAAGAAGAAGAGCAAGGGATAGAAAACTTGTTTGAACAAGTACTGACAGAAAACTTCTTTGATTTGATGAGAGAAGGAGTCATATAAGTCCAGGAAGCATAGAGGGTCCCAATAAAGATGAACCCAAAGTAGCCTACTCCAAGACACATCATAATTAAAATGGCAAAATTCAAAGACAAAGAGAGAATTTTAAAGGCAGCAAGTGAGAAACAGGAAGTAACATATAAGGGGTGCCCCAATAAGGCTAGCAGCTGACTTCTAAACAGAAACTCTACAAGCCAGAAGAGAATGGCAAGAAATATTCTGAGTAATGAGAAGCAAAGGCCTGCAATGAAGACTACTTTACTCAGCAAGGCTCTCATTTAACAGAGGAGGTGAAATAAGGAGTTTCCTAGACAAAAGAAGGCTCCTCCACTAAACCACCATTGCAAGATATGCTAAAGGGACTGCTTTAATAAGATGAAAAAAAAAGGAGTGAGAGAGAGAGGAACATAGGTACAAAGGGGAAAAACGGCAATGAAGAAGTACCTCTCAGTAATTATCTTAAATGTAAGTGGATTAAATACTCCAATCAAAAGATATAGGGTAGCTGAAGAGATAAGAGAATATGACCTGCTGCATATGCTACCTACAAGAAATCCACCTCAGAATAAAAGACTTACATAGACTGAAATTGAAGGGTTAGACAAAAATATTCTGAGCAAATGGACAGGAAAAAAATTCGGGATAGCAATACTTACATCTGACAAAACAGACTTCAAAACAAATACCATAAAACCAGACGCAGAAAGATACTTCATAATACTCAAAGGAAGAATCCATCAAGACATGAACACTGTAAACATATATGCACCCAAAGTAGGAGCACCCAAATATATGAGGAAAATCTTGGAGGACTTCACGAAAAATACAGAGAGTAACACACTTATAGTAGGGGATTTTAACACCCCATTGTAAAAAATGGATAGATCTTCCAAACAAAATATCAACAAGGATATTGTGGCACAGAACAACACACTAGATCAAATGGACTTAATAGATATTTACAGAACTTTTTTATCCCAAAGAAGCAATACACACATTCTTTCCAAATGTACATGGAACATTCCAAAGATAGACTACATAATAGGAAACAAAACAAACCTTAAAAAAAAATTCAAGAAAATTGAAATCATATAAAGCACTTTCTTGGAAACTAGAAACAAACCTTAAGGAAAACTCTAAAATATTAAAATTCATGGATACTGAAGAGCATGCTATTAAGCAATGAATGAGTTAATAATGAGAACAAGAAAAATAAAAAAAGTTTATAAAAAGAAATGAAAATGAACACAAAACAGTCCCCCAAATATGGGACACAGTGAAGGCAGTCGTGAGAGGAAAGTTCATAGCGATAGAGGCCTACCTAAAAAAGGTAGAAACATTTCAAATAAACAATCTAACCCTACAACTACAAGAACTGGAGAAACAACAAGAAACAAAGCCCAGAGCAAGAAGAAGGAAGGAAATAATCAAGATCAGAGCAGAATTAAATAACGTAGAGACTAAAAGAACAATTCAAAGGATCAATAAATCCAGGAGATGGTTCTTTGAAAAGATAAACAAAAGTGACAAGCCTTTCACCAGACTCATCATGAGAAATAGAGAGAGAACCCAGATAAAATCAGAAATGAAAGACAAGAAACTACAACTGAGACAACAGTTGCAGTGGTCCACAGTTGCAGAGACCACAAAGGATCTTAAACAAATCACTACAAACAAGTATATGCCAAGAAATTTGAAATCTGGGTGAAATGTATACATTTCTAAACATAATCTTCCAAAACTAAATCAAGAAGAAACCGAAAGCCTGAACAGACCTATAATAGCTAGTGAAATTGAAGCAGTAATAAAAAAGCACTAGACTAGATGATTTCACAGGAGAATTTCACAAAACATTTACAGAAGAACTAACCCCTATCCTTCTCAAACTATTCCAAAAAATCCAAGAAGAGGGAAGACTACCAAACTCTTTTTATGAAGCCAGCATCATCCTGATCCCAAAACCAGAGAAACACACAACAAAGAAAAAAAACTTCAGGCCAATATCGCTGATGAACATAGACACTAAAATCCCCAACAAAATATTGGCAAACTGCATCCAGGAATATGTTAAAAAGATCACACACCATGATGTAGTGAAAGTCTTCCCAGGGATGCAAGGATGGTACAATATTTGCCAATCAATAAACATAATGCATCCCATAAAAAAAGGAACGGCAAAAATCACGTAATCATACCAAGAGATGCGGAAAAAGCATTTGATAAGATACAGTACCCATTTATGATAAAAACACTCAGCAAACTGTGAGTAGAAGGAGTATGTCTCAACATAATAAACGCCAATGAAGCAAATTAAAAGAGAAACCATATATGAGAAATCATATATGCCATATATGGGAAACCATATGCCATATATGAGAAACCTACAGCCAACATCATACTCAACAGGCAAAAACTAAAAGCTTTCCTACTAACATCAGGAACAAGACAAAGGTGTCTGCTTCCACCGCTTCTATTCAACATAGTATTGGAAGTCCTAGACACAGTGATCAGACAAGAAAAAGAAATAAAAGGCATCCAAATCAGAAAGGAGGAAGTATAACTGTCATCATTAGTGGATGACATAATAGTGTACATAGAAAACCCTACAGACTCCAAAAAACTATTTGACCTAATAAGTAAGTTTGGCCAAACAGTGGGATACAAAGTCAATATTCAGAAATTGGAAGCATTTTTATATACCAACAGTAAAATATCAGAAACAGAAATTAGGGAAAAAATCCCATTTGCTATAGCAACAAGAAAAATAAAGTACCTAGGAATACACCTAACCAAGGAGATACAAGATCTGTACTCAGAAAACTACACAACATGGAAGAAAGAAATTAAGAAACACACAAACAAATGGAAGCATGTACAATGTTCATGGACTGGAAGAATTAACATCATCAAAATGCCCACACTACCCAAAACAATTTATAGATTCAACACAATTCCTATAGATATATTTCCCAATGACACATTTCACAAATATAGAACAAATATTTCAAAAATTTACATGGTTTCATAAATAATCCCAAGTAGCTTCAGCAATTTTGACAAAGAAGGAGAAAGTAGGAGGGATCAGAATACCTGATGTAAACCTGTATTACCAGGCCACTGTAATCAAAACAGTCTGGTACTAGCATAAGAACAGACACACAGATCAATGGAACAGAACTGAGAGCCCAGATATAAACCCATGTCTCTATGGTCAATTAATATTCAACAAAGGGGATAGGACCATACAAAATGCAGTAAAAATAGACCCTTTGACAAATGGTGTTGGGAGAGCTGGACAGATACATGCAAAAAAAAAAATGAAACTTGACCACCAAGTTACACCATACACAAAAATAAACTCAAGATGAATAAAAGACTTAAATATAAGTCATGACACCATAAAAGTCCTAGAGGAAAACATAGGCAGGAAAATCTCAGACATTCCATGCAGCAACATCATCACTGATATGTCCCCTAAAGCAAGGGACATAAAGAAAAGAATAAACAAATGGGACCTCATCAAATTGAGAAGCTTCTGCATGGCTAAAGAAAACAGCATTAAAATGAATAGAGAACCAACTATATGGAAAAACATAATTGCCAATGACACCTCAGACAAGGGTTTGATCTTTAAAATATATAAAGAACTCACGTGATTCCACAGCAGGAAGACAATTAAAAAATGGGCAAAGGACCTGAACAGACACTTCTCCAAGGACACACAGAGGGCCCAGACACATAGGAAAGGATGCTCAGCATCACTAGCCATCAGAGAGAGGCAAATTAAAACCACAGTGAGATACTACCTGACACTGATCAGAATGGCCATATAAACAAATCAACAAAAAACAAGTGCTTGTGAGGTTGTGGAGAAAAGGGAACCAAGTACACTGTTAGTGGGCATGCAGACTGGTGCAGCTACTGGGGAAAACAGTATGAAATTTCCTCAAAATCTAAAAGTGTAACTGCCTTTTGACGTGGCAATTCCACTGCTGGGATTATACCCTAGGAATCCTGAAACACCAATTCAAAAGAATTTAAGCACCCTAATGTTAATAGCAGCACAATTTACAATTGTCAAGTACTAGAAACAGCTTAAGTGCCCATCAGTAAATGAGTGGATCAAAAAACTGGTACATTTACACAATGGACTACTATGCAGCCCAAAGAAAGGAGCTCCTATCCTTTGAGACAGCATGGAAGAACTGGAGAGCATTATGCTAAGTGAAATAAGCATGGCGGTGAAAGACAAATACCATATAATCTTATCTGTAAGTAGGAACCTAATCAAAAAACAAACAAATAAACAAAATGGAACCAGAGACATGGAAAGAAAGAACAGACTGACAGAGACCAGAGGGAAGGGGCGAGGGGAATCATGAAGGAAAGGAGGGGAAGGGTAACATGTATAAAGGACTCATGGACAAAGACAATGGGGGTGGGGAGGGGTAAGAACTGAACGTGGGAGGTGAGCAGTGGGGAGGGCAGGGGAGAATAATGGGGTGGAATAGACAACTGTAATTGAACAATAAAAAAGAAAATAAAATACTTTAAAAAATCTTAAGAGTAAATTATAAATGACCAGGTTCAGAGACAACTTTACTAATATAATTATGATAAACAGACAAAACCGCTTCCTTTCTCCACAATGGGTTAAAGATTCCACCAACTTTGTTCACTGCTGTTTTAAAAAATTACTATTTTTCTCTCACTCTCTCATCCAATTTTCAAGTATATTTGATATAAATTTAATTTTAAGACAACATTTAAAAAGACCCTCATATTTTTTCAGGAGATAAAGAGTTAAGTAGTTTCTGGTGTATTTAAGGAAAAAAATGGTTTCATGTGATCACATGTGAAAGAAAAATATGTTAGCACTCACCCACAATTTTTTGGTACCTCCCTGTTGACCCGTTGGAAGTTCTAGGTGAAGATCTCCTCCACTAGAGTACATTTCCACAACCTGTAACGAAAAAGCACACGACAGTCAAGTTAAAAATCATATCTTCAATGTACCTGATTTGCTGTTATATAGAAATGAGTTTGATAACCCAACTGTTTACCAGAAAAGATTTAAAAACATTTAGATATAAATGTAGGATAAGTGTCACATCACATCAGCAGAGTCAGTTACCCATAAGTGTAAGCAATGGTGGTATTTTTCACAAAAATAATCTGACTTTGAAATATTAAACTTTGAAACGGTGAAGTTGTCTCAAATACTGAGTTTTAGAAAAACTCAACCACAGGACACTTACAGTAGTCTGTGAAAACTATCAAATTTTAGAAACACAAATTTTGTATTTCTTGTGTGTGTGACCCAGGCCTCTGTAAGATCAAAGTGATAAGTGATGTGGGGATTAAAATCAAGAGCATCACTGAACTTCACCTTCCCTCTAACCAGTTCTCCAAACTCCCGGCCCCTAACCTGTCTGTGCTCCCAATTCCATTTTGAAGGATGAACTTAATTCCAAAGACCTGGAACAATTTCAGGGTTCTTTCCCTAGGTCTCTCCTGTCCTCTAAGGGCTGGCAGCTCAGCTGGAATGCATGGGAGAGCCTAGAGTGGTGATAGACAGAGGGAAAGGCTTCATCCTAAGGAAAGGGGACTGTGGAGTATAGCGTAGTGAAGTGAGGGCCAGCATAGCCTGGGGTACCAAAATGAGGCCCAGGTGCCACAGGAAACGATACTGGTATCCTGAAAAAGGAGGTCTGGAAGCCTCAAAATCCTGGTGAGAATAGTCACTACTTGATCGCTTGCCCTTGTGGTGATGGCTGCAGAACCACACTAGGACCACATCCGTCTCCAGCTGAGCTGCTGGGCAATGTGGTTGATGTGCTGCAGGGTGGGCTTCCGGCGCTGCAGGGTGGGCTTCCGGCACTGCAGGAACATGTTCTCCAGGCTGTCCCTCACTTGGTTCCTGATACATGTTCACCTTCTCTTTCAAGCATGCACAAAGTCTTTGCTTTGCATATTCCTGCAGATTCTTGTTGTCAATTTCCTCCATCCATTTCTGCAGGAGGGGTTGCAGCTTACACATGTTCTTCAAACTGAACTATAGTCTCAAAGTGGCAGATGGTTGTTTGGGCTGAACACATTCCAAAGAGAACACCCAGGTTAAGCCCCACACTGGCCTGGGTATATTCCAGGGTGACACTCTTCTGCTTCAAGACCTTGGCAAAGTACTTGAGGTCTTTATTCAGAGCCCTCATGTCCTCACTTGCCTCCTCTTCAGGGTTTGGCTTCAGCTTCACGGCCCCAGGAGGAGGAGCACAAGGCTTGGGGGAGGCCCCTTAGACTTGTTCTCCATCCTGGCTTCTGCCTGGCCCTCAGGATGGGCCATCTCGCCCTCAGGATGGGCCATCTCCCAACATAACTCATAAAGCGGGGACAAGGGGAATCTCCCACCTTGGCTTCAGGGACAAGTTCTGGCCCAATTCCCATCCCGCTTGGAGGGCCCTGGAAGCTCAGCCAGTCACAAGGGTAAACCTAACCTGGTTCTGGCCCTCCTGGCCCACAGCCTCTACCACCTGGTGGGGGCAAGAAGGCCAAGTCAGAAGCCAGGTGTCCTGCCGTGGGAAGGAAGAGGCCAGGTAAATGGAGGGCTCTCCAAGGCACTTAAATTCTGTATTTTCTTATAGTAACACGGTGCTTCTTTACTCACACATTTATAAGACCTAGCAGTGAACCTAATGGCTATTGTAACTGTGAAAGAGTGAAGAGTGTATTATCCTGAAACACATAGAACAATTTTAATGTAGTATGAAAATATGTGGCTTCTACTGATGGCAAAATCACAGGTGCTGGTAATGCCTCTGCAGCTTGTACCTATATGTCTGATTTTTAAAAATAAAATCGTTTTTTTTTTTAAATGAAAGAGAAATGACTACCAGTTGAGAAACACCCTTTTTAAAAAAAAACCTCATACCTGAGGACATGCCTATTGATTTTAGAGACAGGGGAAGGAAGGGAGGGAGAGAGGGAGAGAAACATCAATGTGAGAAAGAAACATCAACTGGTTGACCCCACCTGTGCCCTGACCAGGTAAGGAACCTGCAAGCTGGGCACGTGCCCTGAGGGGAATTAAACCCATGACCCTTGGTTTACAGGGTGATGCTCCAACTGAGGCACACTGGCCAGGGCTTAAAATAGTTGTAATGAGGTCTAATATACATTAAACTATACATATTTAAAGTGCACAAGATGATGAACTGACATACACATATATATATATTTCATATCTTAATTGCAGTGGTAGCTTTATACTGTATATATATATATATATATATATATATATATATATACTTGTGGTAAGTATATATATATATATATATATATATATATATACAGTATAAAGCTACCACTGCAATTAAGATATGAAATACACCCCATGTACACAGTTTCCTCACGCACTTTGCAATCTGCCTGTCCTTCTCTGACCCCTCTCATTCTTAGGTGTCCGCTGAGCTGCTCTTGGCTACTCTAGATTTGTTTGTATTTTGTAGAGTTTTGTATAAATGGAATCAAAAGCCTGTACTTTTGTGTTTGGCTGCTTTTACTCAGTGTAATGATTTTGAAGTCCATTGTGGTGTTGTATGTATTTATAGTTCATTTCTTTTCCATTTTTAGGATATCCAACAATCTTTGATCATTCAACTAATAATGAACATTTGGGGTTTTTGTTTTTGGTCATCACAGATAAAGCCGCTAAGAACAATTCATTAATACATCTGTGTATGAACGTCTGCTTTCCTTTCCTTTAGGAAAAGACCTAGGAACAGAATGGGTTCTATGACAGGAGACTTTCCATTAATGGCAGGTAACCCTATTTCCTAAAGAGAATAATCTATTTAATTAAATGCAAATTTGAGGTGAAGTTGTAAAATGGGTAAAAAACCTTGTTTTATTACAAAAATTCTCCAAGGGTACCTAAAAAAGGACAAAGCAGTAACACAGCAGTACATAAGTATTAGCCTAAAGGTTTTTGGTGTGTGTGGTGTTAAAGAAATGCACTGGACAAAGACTAATGAATTAGGATTTTTTCTGTGTATTACTTGCCTTCCAATTTCTTACAACAGTATCATGTAAAGTACTGATTGCATTATAGTAACAGCACCTTAACTAATGGCGTAACTATGGAACTTTTTCTGAAAAACCAGAAAAGATCACATGTTATTTCATTTAACCTTCCAAGGTATTAAGGAAATAAACATAACAATGTTTGGAAACAAAAGGCTGAAAGCCAGACTACTGATAACAGGGAAATAAATAAGGAGATAGGGACAGAAAAAGGCTAAATTACAGAAAAGGTATGTGACACATTCCTGATTTTTATTCCAGTACTATTTATCCTAGTTTAGTAAAGTCTAGGAAAAAAGACATCCAATATGTAAGGAATATAATTTATTTAAAAAATTCCCACGAAGACTGTTTTTTTTTGTAAGCACAAATATATGTGTACAAATGCATGCAAAAATGGGTCTGAGACCACGTGCGTGATATCTATGAGGAAGGGCTTGGTGTTGGAGCTATGCTAATATATTAGCTACCTGCTACATGTGGTTTTATTTAAGTTTAAATTAGTTGAAATATGATAAAATGTTTAGTCCCTCAGCAACTCTAGCCACAAATTCAAGTGCTCAATAGTCATGTGTGGCTCATGGCTACTATACAGGACAGAGCAGATACAGAACTTTTTCATTATACCAGAAAATTCTATTAGACAGTGCTGGATTGAAAGGGAAGAAGTTCAAGTGAACGCCTGCTTCACACTTGTTTAAAATAATATTTTTTTCAGGAAAAACATACTCATGTGTTTGCATTGTATAATAAAAAAAATCAGATGCAATTTCTTGCTTTACAATATTTTCTTAAGTTCAAGGACAAGACTAATGATAGTATAACATATTATAGGACTATCAGGTTAAAAGTGACTTTCATACAAACTTCCAGTTATAAAATAAGTCCTGCGAATGTAATGTACAGCATGGATAATAGTTAGTAATACTATTAAGCATACCTGAATTTGCTAAGAGTAGATCCTAAAAGTTTTTGTCACAAGGAAAAAAATTATAACTGTGTGGTGATGGATCTTAACTAGCTTTATTGTGGCGATCGTTCCATAATATATAAAGATATGGAATCATCATATTGTACAATTAAAACTAATATAATGGTACATGTCAATTACTTATCAACAAAAGAAAAAAATCAGTATTGAATTCAGAGAGATAATTTTTCTAAATGATAGCCTGATGATTCAAGAGCTGAGGAGAGAAGGCACAGACAGTAAGACCACTGAAAAAATTGTAGGTTGGCCGCCACTTGCTGAGCTGAGGACCCCCATCATTCAGCAGGAATCAACTCCTGAGTCTGTGCTCTGGTACACTACAGAGAGAGGGCACCCTGGGCTGCTCTGTCATATTGAAGGAGGAGACAACATAGGAAGAACTCTGAGACTGTACTGCTGTTACTGGCCAGCATCTAGCATCCTGGTTGCCAGGAAACACCTTTCTCACTTAGGCTGAAGAAACAGTAAACCAAGGCAGGGAGGAGGAGGGAGACATCTCACACACTAACTCAGCAGTCCTGAGCCTGGTCTGATAATATTGCCAGGTGTTCCAACATCACAAGAAACTATGTTAGCAAGAAAGGAAGGAAGTCCCTGAAATTCTATGTAGGGTTTCCACTATCTGGGAAAGAAAGCCTTGACACTGCTTTCATTCCAGGGCCTAGAATGTGGGAGAGGGTCCAAGGTGCCCAAAGTAGCCCATTAATAACTTTGGAAAGTGTCTCAGTTTTAAATAACTGCCTCCTGTCACGAATTTGTTTTATAACATGATGAACAAATGGAGTCTCGAGCAAGATAAGGATTCAGGTTAACGAACACCCAGTCATACCTAAGTTTGAGTGGTCACATCCCCCCAGGGGGAGCTGGCACCACATTTACCCATTAATCAATATGTAACTTTTCCCTCCTATCCAGACAACTATGTAAGTCCTCAGAGCAAAGGTGTATGTCTGTCTGTCTGTCTCTCTCTCGGGCTCAGGGCACTCTTGGAGCTCTTGGTTCTCTGGCGAATGGGCCTCCGACCACCCGGCCTTAGGCCACCTCATCACCCTTATCTTTAGCCACTCTTACTTTTGCTGCCTTGCTTTGCCCTGAAACTTTGCCTTTCACCCCTCACTCTAGTTAGTCCCATTCTCTTCCATGGGAATGGACCACTAATAAACTGATTGCATGCTAAATAGATTTGCTGATCTGTAATTCTTTACATGCTTCAGCAAGAAGAACCAGGTCTCTCTCGTCAAGAGTATTGCCACCATAGCAGTGTGACAACTCTTGTAGCAGGGTCTGATAGAATGAAAACAAGCTTTTGCTTTTATTTTTTAATGTCTTTGACTTAAAGTAATCAAAACAAGAAAGTAGCAAGAATTTATGAGGTTTCTACATAGATTTATAATAAAAGCCAGGACAGGGAAAATATACCAGTACCTAAAGTGACAGAGTGATGATGATGAAAACACTTTACAAACAGGACACAAGAGCTTTCTCCCCCTTTTTTTGTGATGAAGATGTATAATAAAAAATAATTAAAATTCATGTATAGAGTCCTGGAAAAGTAAGGCTTGCCTGAGTATGGTTGGTAGGGTATGTGAATGTCTCGCATCAGATGGACAGCAATTTGAACATTTCACTTAAAATGTTATCTGGTGTGTTTGAGTGTGATACTGTTATGTTATAAAATTACACGCTTATGATTTTGCAATAAAAAGGGCATTATTTGTGCCAAACTCTGTATTTTTATTAGTAGCTATCCTCACCGAGTATCAGCCAAGTGTTGGGGAGAAACCTCTGCCTTGCTATTTTAACATAAAATTCAGGTTCTGAAAAGCTCATCTTGTTTTTCCTCATTTTCCTTTCCACTGTTTATGAATATGTCTACCAGGGGGTTCTAGGATGACAAATCCATGTTGATTGCCACAGCTCTTTAACTTACCACATTATACAGTATTTCCTTCCACCTGTCATTTTCAAGATACTGTTAAGTCTGGGTGCTCTGGCTATGGATATTACGAGACATTCTGGAAAGCATCCACACCTCCTTCCAACACAGACAACAGAACTAGATCAGCTATAGTAGGAGCAAATATCATAGAGTTGGAAGTCACTAAGGATGTGGGTGGGGTTTTTAAAAACTATCTGAATGAGTCACACCAGCTATGCCTACTGTGGAAGAAACAAGGAACCAGTGAAGAGGAATTTGAAAACAATTACTACTAACAGACTGGGTAAAATGAAGAGTTAGACTTTTTAAATAAAAAATAAGTTGGTTTTTAATCATGATTCTCTATTACCCTTCCCCTGGACTTCAATTTCCAGGTTGCCATCACCAAAATTTTATTAATTTCACAAACAGATAGAAACTGTTTTTTAAAAAAATTAGATATTGATTTGAGAGAGAGAGAAAAACACTGACTTGTTCCACTTATTTATGTATTCATTGGTTTCTTCTTTTATATGCCCTGACCAAAGACTGAACCTGCAACCTTGGCCTATCAGGACGACGCTCTAACCAACTGAGCTACCTGGCCTGGGCTGGTACAAACTGTGTTTTTAAAAATTTGCGTTGGACTGGAAAGAGCTTATAAGCAAGAAAAGAAGCAGCCTCATATAGCTGAAAACTCAAATTAAATACAGAGCTGCCTGAACAGTAATATCAGAGAAGCCATAATCTTTTAAGAAACAATTAAAAAAAATTAGTATCTAGACTGCTGACATCCAAAATTCAGACCATAGGAAGATGCATTATAAGAATACCCACATTCAATACAACTTTAAAACCACATTATTTTAAAGTCTTGAAAATGAAAATAAACTGAAATTTTAAGCTAAGCCTTAATTTCCACCAAAATGAAGCTCATTCAAAATCACCATCATAATAAACTCACCTGCAAAGGCTCACTGTGAGGGTTGTGTATGTTTATTATAGGTGAGAAACTGCTATTCACAGGGACTCTGGCCCCAATAAATGGCCTCAAACGATAAGGGTTCGGAACTCCAACACCAAATACCTGTTTCAAGGAAGGAATAAAAAGCAATTTGAGTTGTTTTTATAATTAACATTTTTATAGGTTATGACTGATTGATCTAGAAAAAACTGGTAAGTCTAATTTAGATAAAAAAGTCAACTCCTTTTAAAAAGAGCACACGTGTAGTCTCTACATCTGATTTGGCTGAATATTTGATTTACTACATACGCATGCATTTGGGGTAGTTTCTATGATATACTGGAAATACAAGGATAGCAGTCCTTCATGAAGTTGTGGGATAGACAAGAAAAGAAAATAGGGACTCCAAAGATTTCCATACTCTAACCTTCAGAAGATGAATGTAGGGTTCAGACATCTCTCAAATACCAAGCACAGCCTCAGGTCATCCCCACAAGGAAAGGCCTGGGGTCCACTAAATAGTGTGAACCAGTTATTCAAGGGACAAATATTTACTAAGTGCCTACAATGTGCCAAGCACAAACACATCAGTGAATAACTCAAGAATGAACAAGACAATGACAATGTGCCCTCTCTCATGAAATCTACATACTAGTATGAGAAACAGGTTATAAAATAACAACAAAAGGTTAAAAAATGGACTATGTGATACAGAATAACTGGCTGGAGGAAGGATGGGACTATTCTTTTAGAGAGGGTGGCCAGGGTAGTCATCTCTGGGTAGGCGATATGAGTTGTTGTCACCTGAAAGATGAAAAGTCAGTGCCAGGAGTGGATTCAGGCAAGGGGACATATACAGGCAACGCACATGAAGTGGGAAAGGGCTTGCCTTGTTTGAAGACCAGGAAGAAGAAAGAAGCATGGTCAGACAGGATGTGGTAGGAGATGTATATTGGAGTCGGATTCCAAGATCCTTAGAAGTCTCAGCCAGAAGCTTACATTTTGCTTTATGTGCAATAGGAAAACATAAAGATTTACAAGGGGAAGTTGACTAAATCTGATTTATGTTCAAAAGGATTGGGAAGGAATGGCAGGCCAGTTAGAAGGCTATTGTGTAACAGAGTGAGGGGTGATTATAGCTTTGAAGATGGCACTGAAGACGAGGAAGGTAGACAGATTCCAGAAATATTTAGGAGGAAGACTTGTGGAGGTAAAGAAACACAGTTGGCCACTGAGGCTCATCTTGAGAAGAATCTATCTGATCACAACTCTCAAGGAATCCCGTTCAGCCACCACCATCTAAGCTCACAGTGGCTACCCAGGCAAAGGTATTCATACTCTTACGACAGTCCTTTCATTTACTCAGTAAGTGTATGTTTAAATGAGTGTCATCTACAGAGTGTCACAGTTACTTATCTATACAGGCCTTTAAAAGTTTATAGACTGCCTACTAAACATCCATTAAATATTTATTCACATTACATAAGTACAAGATATGCTTATGTCTTAAAATGGAATGTTTATTCTGACACTAATTTTCAAAATGTGAAGTGTTCTGGGTACTGCAGAAGAAATGTTCAAAAACAAAAGCACAAAAACTGTAAATTAAGACTTTTAAACAAAATAGTTCCGTGGGCAATACAACACAGTGGCTAAGAGAATGTCTGTACTTACAAGGACATGGGTTTGAATTTCTGCTCAACAACCTACTAGTAGCATAATCTTGGTAAATTATTTACCCTTTACAAGTTCCATCTTTTTCTTGTTTAAAAAATTGAGAATAGTATCTATAATACTTGCAGAACAGCATGTTAAATATGTAGTGTCATATAAACAATTATTCTAAATAATCTTGATAACCTTGATAAACAGTAAGTTTTCTTAATAAGCTAACCAATAATAATTGCACATAAAAATAACAAAAACTGAAACAATATATTTACTAAGAAAAGTAGGCATGTATATTTTAATCTTGACACTATTTTAGAGAATGCTTCACAAGTGTGCAAAAAGGCAAAAAATTATGAGTCAGTGTGAAAATATTTTTTACTATTCTTTTGTCAATCTAGCTTACATTAACACTGCAGCTGTAGCTTTAAGATCATTTGTTTAGTCTAATTTGAATAGGAATATTTACGGATAGAACAAGAGTTATAAAAAATGCTCTAAGTCTCATCTTTTATACTTAGTATTATTGCTGACTTAATGGACTTCTTTAAAGCTTGTCATGTGATAGGTCAAAGATGATGCATATGTTTAAAAAAATACAACAAACAAGACCCCACTACTGGGAATGTATCTGAAGGAACCCAAAATATTAATTTGAAAGAACATATGCACCCCTATGTTTACTACAGCATTATTTACAATTGCCAAGATATGGAAACAGCCAAAGTGTCTATCAATAGATGAGTGGATAAAACTATGTGACATTTATACAATGAACTACTGCTAAGCTGTGAAAGGGAAGAAAATGTTACCCTATGTGAGAGTAAGGATGGACCTAGAGAACATTATGCTAAGTGAAATAAGCCAGTCAGAGAAAGACAAATACCATGTGATTTCATTCATGTGTGAAATCTAATGAACAAGCAAATCTAAATAACAAGCAAAACAGAGACAGATTCATAAAGAAGAAGATGACAGCTAGGGATGGGGGAGGTGAGGGGGTGAAGGAACTGAGCAAAATGAAACAAGGACACAGGAACACAGACAACAGTGAGGTGATTGTTGGGGATGGGGGGAAGGATGGTATAAGGGGACTAAATGGTACTGGAAAAAAAGGCAACAAAAAATCAATTGACCATAAAAAAAGACACAATTTTGGTTCTTACCTGGTAGGTAAATACGCCATGATTAGATGTGTTAATAAATAAAGTATTTTCTACATTTCCTACTACTCTTGCAAGGAAAACTACATCAAATGAGGTATTTCCTCCTGGAAGAATTTTCTGTAAAAGAACAGCAATAAATAGTTAAATTAGTACCCCCCCAAAAAACCCCAACCCCCCCAGATCATGATAACCACAATTAGAGAGCTACAGTTTCTAAAACAAACATCTCAGAATCATTTCCATAAACTACCTTTCTCCCCCTAAGGATTCAGCTTTAAATTAGCCAAACTATTTTATAGTAGAAAATAACTGATATTGACAGTTATGTATCTCTGTCAATTACCAGTCTAAAACGCTGCACAACAGGTGATTTCCCTGGACTCTGTTTATTCAACAATCGCTGGGCCCAAATGAGGTGCCTCATTACAGATTTTTTTTTATCATCACACAATCAGGTAGGAGTGAGCTGAATCTGAACTTTTTATATACACATACTTTACCAGGAAGCAGCAACCTGTACTATTCCAAAGAAGAAATAAGCCAAGACCTCAACCCCTTGACCTCTGTCACCCATTCACAAAAGCACAAAATGTGCCAGAAACTTACATTAGAAAAGACAGCAGGGGTGACAAGTATGTGCAAGAACTCACTCCTGTTATCTTGTACAGAATGAGAAGGTCATTATAGTTAGCAAAAAAATTATTAAAACAATAGGGCTGCTTGAGAAGTTCAAGAGACTACAGACTACAGTTCTGTTTCCAATGAAGACTTAAAATATATTTAATAAAGTCATCAATTTTGTTCATTCTGCCTCTATGACTAGAACTCTAAAATATTCCCCAAATTATAGCTTAAAACACATGCCATTGCTTCACCTTAGTATGAAGAAAGCTGTAAAGCACATTTCTCCTGCATTATCAATAACAACAAAAAAATAACTTTTCTTGAATGTACCACTAAGTTTGTGTATCAACTAGCCCAGAATCTAACAAAAGACAAGCATCTCCAAGGAGAGAGATGGAATGTTGGGTACTGGCTCACCCATGGTAGAGAATGGGAAGATGAGGCTTCCACACCAAGAGGGTAAAATGAATTCAGCTAGAATTTTTATGCACTGGCCAAGTGTGGGCTAAAATATGAGTGCAAAAACTCTCTGATACAATACAAAGTAAGTGGATATCACACCTGAGCAAAAAATCAGTAATAGGAAGGTATCGGTAAATTCCTAAATAGTTTGAAATGAAGCAACACCTTCTAAATAACTCATTGGTCAAAGTGGTAGTCACTATATAAATTATAAAATATTTTTAATCAATTGGAAATGAAAACAACATATCAAAAAGTGCTGGCTGCATTTACAGCAATACTTGGAAGGAAATTTATAGTACTACATGATTACTTTGAAAAAAATACCTCAAACCAATAATCTATGTTACCACCCTAAAAAAAACCACAAAAAACTAGAGAATAAATTAAGCCCAAAATATACAAAAGAGAATAATAGACAAGAGAAGAAATGAATGAAAAACAGAATAAAATAAAATAAATCAATACAACAAAAGGCCAATGCCTCAAAAAGGTCCATAAAACTGATAAAAACCCTAGACAGAACTACCAAGAATAAGAATGAATACAAAAATAAAAACTGAAACACGGACATCATAGATACTCTTTACATGTAAAAAAGGATGACAAAGCCTGGCTGGTGTAGCTCAGTGGACTGAGTGCAGGCCTGCGAACCAAAGGATCGTGGTTCGATTCCCAGTCAGGGCACATGCCTGGGTTGCAGGCCAGTTCCCAGCAGGGGACGCATGAGAGGCATTGATATTTCTCTCCCTCTCTCCTTGCCTTCCCCCTAAAGATAAATAAATAAAAATAAAATCTTAAAAAAAAAAAGGATGACAAAGTAATACTACAAACAACTCTGGGGCCATAAATTAAAAAACTAGAAGAAATGGACATCTAAATGGTTATCTAAAAACCACAATCTGCCAAAGCTCACTCAGAATGAAACTGAAAACTACACAGTCCTACGTCCAGTAAAGAAATTTAATTTGTAACAAAAAACCTTCCCCCAAAACAAAGTGCCAAATACAAAAAACAGTCACAGTGATGTAAAGTACAGCATAGGGAATATACAGTCAATAACATTGTCACTATGTATGTTGCCATGTGGGTACTAACTTATTGGGATGATCACGTAAGTTATCTAAATGTCTAATCACTATGTTGTTCACCTGAACTTAATATAATATTGTATGTCAACTATAATTGAAAAATTAAAAGTTAAAATAAAACTTTCCACCCTGGCTGGAGTAGCTGTGGATTGAGTGTGGGCTGTGAACCAAAGGGTCACTGGTTCGATTATCAGTCAGGGCACATGTCTAAGTTGCAGGCCAGGTGTCCAGTGGGGAGCACACGAGAGGAAACCACACATCGACATTTCTCTCCCTCTTTTTCTCCTTCCCTTACCCTCTAAAAATAAATAAATAAAATCTTAAAAAAAACAACCACAAAAAAGTCTAAGTTCAACAGGAGTTGCTATGGTTTTCCTGCTTCAACAGTGCTTGAATGGAACGCTGCACTTGACCCCCATCCCAGCCAGCCACCTCGATCCATCCTTTTGCCATCTCCTTACAGCTCCCTCCGAGTGCCCTATGGTTGCAGCCACTGCTCCAAAGCCCAGAAGCCGCCTGTCCTCAGCCATGCAACAGGACGAGCACATCCACCTCGCAGGTGCCCCAGAACTACCACCAAAACTTGGAGGCTGCCATTAACTGCCAGATCAATCTGGAGCTCTACACTTCTATGTCCACCTGTCCATGTCTTACTACTTTGACTGCAATGATTTGGCTTTGAAGACCTTTGCCATGTATTTTCTTCACCAGTCTCATGAAGAGAGGGTATATGCCAGGAAACTGATGAAGCTGCAGAACCAACGAGGTGGCCGAATCTTCCTCTAGGGTATCAAGAAACCAGAACGTGGCTGAATGCAACGGAGTGTGCAATACACTTGGAAAAAAGTGTGTATCAGTCACTACTGGACTTGCACAAACTGGCCACTGAAAAAAATAACCCTCATTGGTGTGACTTCATTGAGACTCACTACCTGGATGAGCAGGTGAAATCCAATGAGCTGGATGGTTGGTGACCACATAACCAACCTGTGCAGGTTGCGGGCCCCTGGACCTGGCATGGCAGAGGATCTCTTTGACAAGCACACTCTGGGAGGCAGTACAGAGAGCCAAGCCTCAGGATGCCTTCCCACCACCATGGGACTGCTTTCCCTAGTCATCAAAGCAGTATGTGCATGCTGGAGTCACTGTTACCTTTTCTATAACTTGTATCAGATCATCTACTTATATCTTCTTTCATTTGTACCATAACTTCAAATAAAGTAACTTGGTCCCAGTCCCCATCCCCTCTCCCCAAAAGAAAGAAAAGACCACGCTCAGATGGTTTTGCTGGTAGAATAGAATTTTCTACTAACCATTAAATAAATGATATATTCACATAAACTTTCCAACATACAAGGAAGAGAGAACAATCCCCACCTCATTTTACGAGTCCAGCATTACCCTAATATCCATACCAGGCAAAGACTTCACAAGAAAACTATAAGCCAATATTCCTCATGAATGTAAACATACAATCGTCTACAAAGTACCAGCAAATTGAGTCCAGCCAATGTATGAAAAAGGATAATACATCTTGAGCAAGGGGTTTTTTATCTTAACAATGTAACTCTACATAGTTCAACATTCAAAAATCAAAATGATATAATTGGTATTATCAATTTACTAAAGAAGAAACACCATATGGTCATCTCAATAGCTGCATAAAACAGTAAGACAAAATTCAGTATCCATTCATTATTTAAACCTTCCTCTCTACTCTTTTCTGTTAAAAGTGTTTTCATAAAAGATGAATTGTTAACTAATATTGGGTTGGCCAAAAAGCTCATTTTTTTTCCCATAAGATGGCTCTAGTAGTGCTTATTTGTCTAACTTCATTTGAAATACTTTTGGTAGACTGTACTATTGACAGCTGTCATACCAGTGTGCATGAAAAAAACCTTAACAAAATGGTGAATTTTTGTGTAGCCATTTTAATATTGAAGATGGAAGAAAATAAGCAACTTTTCAGCATATTATGCTTTATTATTTCAAGAAAGGTAAAAATGCAACTGAAATGCAAAAAAAGATCTGTGCAGTGTATGGAGAAGGTGCTGTGACTGACTGAACATGTCAAAAGTGGTTTGTGAAGTTTCGTGCTGGAGATTTTTTGCTGGATGATGCTCCGTGGTCAGGGAGACCAGTTGAGGTTGATAGTGATCAAATTGAGACCTTAATTGAGAACAATCAATGTTATACGACATGGGAGAGAGCCGACATACTCAAAATATCCAGATCAATAAAATTTTTGATGAAAATGAAAAATGTGTCTTTTATTTTATGGAAAAAAAAAACAAACCCCATATAGACTTTTTTTGCCAATCCTATATGTAACCTGCTGATAAGCTGCACATTTGTGTAAGAGTTCCTGGAATTAGCTTCAGGGAAGGAGGCTGACTCCAGCAACTGGATGTTCTGGCTCCAGGAGACTTGATGACTCTCAAGCATAAAAAACAGACTCTGCTTGACCAGTTTCAAAATCATCATTGGAATAAATTGTGCTGACTTACGTGTAGATAAGTTTAAACCCCCTCCCCCTGATTTCTTTATTCTGATTTCTCTCTCCCTTCTAATAAAAACCCTTGCCTGCACTGAGATGTTAAGATGGGCTTTTAGATGAGAGTCCTCCATCTTCTCAGGTCACTGGCACTTGAATAAACACCAGCACCTCTGGTCTCACAAGCTTGTCTTACAAGTTTGGCTTTTGTTGCAGCAGGCAGCTGAACCTGCATTTGGTTACAAACAGAGGAGAACTTCTTCAACCTGACAAAGGGCATCTAGAACTGCCATATTTAATGGCAAATGATTGAATGCTTGGATGTTTTCTTTCCCAAATCTGAAACAAAGCAATGATGTCCTCTCTCATAACAGCTGTTCAACATTGTATTGGAAGTAATACCAGTGCAATGAGGCAAGAAATAAAAGACATACCCATCAGACAGA